ATTTTTGAGGCGAAATACCCAAAAAGAAGTTTGTAAAAAATGAATCCGCCTCAACAATATAGAACTTATCTACAAAAAATTCAAGTTTCTCAAAATACCTCGAATTCTAAACATTTATTTGACAAACTCTAATGCAGTATGTTTTATAAAATCGTCATAATAAAACACTATCACTATCTATATGGCAAAAAGTCCCAGACATGTTTTGCAAAAAAATATAAACTGCGACTAGAATTACACTGAAAAAATGGTAATTAGCAATAGTACCATATGCACATGATCACGATCTCACATAGGTAATACTTATGACTACAATGTAAAATATTGCTGCAAATTTCCGAAAATTGTCATTCAGAGTGAAACTGAAAACACTACCGCATACTTCCGGATATGAAACAATATACTTAGATTGGCCTATAAACGTAAATAATTTATCATTCTCCTAGGTGGGCACGGTCGCATAAACTGTCGTGTGTAGAGATAAAGCCATTTTCACACAGGTCGGCGAGCAATGTGCCAAGGAATGTTAATAAACTTAAACTCGCAAAGAATAATCGTTTTTTGTCGGGATCAGATCGAGCTTTCAACATCCTACGCTCTCCGCAGAGTTAATTAGGGTTAGTTTATTAGGTACGTTGTAAACAAAATGCCTACTTAATGCTGTATATATCTAGTTACTAATTCCGGTTAAGTGTTGATGACCGCAAAGTTGTAAGAATATTCCAATTAAATATTACAAATTATGCAGGTATCATCGCTAGCTAATGCGCTCCTTACACGTTTTTTAAAGTTTAACCCTACTTCATTTTCACTTGAGAAGTTACAGGTGTTTACGTAATCGGAATGAGGCAGATCAGATCGCCTTTAAAAATATTGCGAAATATAATAAAATTATAATATTAATAAAATAAAAATTTGTGATCTAGTTTATTCTTTCTAAACACCCCAACGAGAATGTCTCCAATTTTGAATCACTCTGTACATGATTTATAGTATACATCGGAAAAATCGGCGCTTGGATCGTTTTTCGTTTAGTTGTTGTTGACTTTCGTTAAGTTGGAACGTGACATAATCATGTTTATTCTGTACTTCGGTGTCTTTTTTTGTTGGTCAGTTTGCTACCGACAGTGGATGAAATCCATTGATGTCGTGTGAATCGCGTTCCAGAAATATAGAATCATTGTGGACCTTATGGCAAGTGCGGTAGTTTGTGAAAGAGCAGTAAACTTTTTGAGGAATAACGGGTAGAAAATGGAGGATGGGGCCGCAGCTTGCAGAAAGCTGGTAAGAATGATCTCTAATCTATACATTGTTTAGCTTGAACTGAGTTTCCGTTTACGACAAGCATCTGAAATTTTATGGATTCTTTATTATTTATTCTTATTCTATTATTATTATTCTCTCTCTCATTGCTTTGCGGATTTCAACTAATTTTGGCTTTGGACAGATTTCCTTCTGTACTAAACACATTTTTTTCTTCGCTTCCAGGTGACGCAATGCAGCTTTCGGTAAGTTTAGCATTAGGATGCGGGTTTATGAGCGTCCAGAGACGTAAAAACAATTAGTTGTTTTCCACTAAGATAAAAACTCCAATGGGAGGAACCTTTCATTTAACAGATTTGTCTGTAGTAGACAATCGACTAGCAGATCGCTCATTTCAAAAACAAGGTTTTCCTTCTTTTTTTTTCAAGTGTTACATTATTGAAAAGGAAATTCAAATATCATATTTTTTAATTAACATAGATAGGGTGTTCCATTTAAAAAAAATGAGCCAAGGTTCGATATTTTATTTTACCTGACCCCGTATACTTATTCTCAAAACGGTAGATTATTCAACAATCATTATAAGGAAACTTTTACATTAAATATTTTCATTGAATCGCTTTCAACTTAGAAAATATAGGGTTATTTTGAAAACGACAATTTAAAAAAAATTTCTTTGTATCTCTTAAACGAACAAACAGTTTCAAACTTTGATTTCACCCTTTTAAGTTTGACCTAAAAAGAGCACCACATGACTCCTATCTATGCCACTTTGTTATAGCGGATATACCATTTAAAGTGTCGAAAATGGGTTGGGGTCGTTTTCTTGATATCAAACAGAGTGGCTTAATGTTAGCATTTGATTTGTTGTATTTCCACATTAGAACAATTGACGATTTTGCGAATAATATATTTTGTAGAACATGAGAGATTCGTGTTACTGAACATGTTTGTAAAATGTAAATTGCTTAAAAGTTACCTGTTAATTCATCTGAATCTACATCTCGATACACCAGGGCAATCACAGTTTGAAGGGCAGGAAAGCCCCATGCACATACGTGCAGGGCACTAGTTAACCCACGTAGTCTTTCGGGACTCCAAGAGGTAGAAGATCTGGCCAGCCACCAGGCGCAAAGACATACCCACCTAGAAACAAAGAAAAACATATATGAATGTATTACTGATTATAATTTTATTATTGTAGTAACTGTCGCATTTTTTCTTAAATGTTGTCAAAAGTTTAAGTTTTTTTTGTTTCTTGCCTACTATTTGTTGTTGTTTGTTGAATTTTTACCACACCCAGAATCCCTGAGGTAAATGGTAAATCTAATCAAGTGTAATTCTGAATGTTGTATTGGAAAAGGTGACTAAATATTCAGTTTTGTACGGGAAATGAACAAAATACGTGGTTGAAGTGGTTGAAAAATGCATTTCCAGAAGAAAATCAATTAAGAAATTTATTGTCAGTGGAGGGAGGTAGAGAGTTTACAACGGAAGTATCTTTTATTATCGAAATCCAGAGGGGCTCAAACTGAATAATTAGGTACTTTTGCTTCTGTGCATTAAACGGTTCTTTTTGCCAAAGAATGTAGTAGTAGGGACACCTTGTATATTATTGTGAGAGAATCTGGGGATTTGTAAGGACCTTTTCTGCTCAGTCCTAATGACAGCAAAACGAGATCTCGTCATGATTTTTGTTGGTTTTATGCTAAAAAACGTGTGTCTACAGCAAGGAAAGACTTTGGTTGGATAAGGGTGCATTAATAATTAATCTATCGGCACTATCAGCACACGTTTTATTTCAAATAATTCTCTGCACATACTGAAAAGTACCTATGCATTAATAGGGTCAATCCAACTTCATTTGAATTCAAGCAATTCATGCTGAATAATGAATATCTCGTATTTACGTTTTGCGTGCTAGATAATTTGCTTCATATTGTTATTCTAATAGCATTATCATATTGAAGTTATAAAGATCATAAGGAAAACAAATTACTTAATAATTTTCCCATTTTATTTTTCTTAATTGCATATTGGTTAACATCAATAGAATTCTTAATTTTAATCCGTATGACCAATTTTATTGTGTGGACTTTTCTTCTCGATAAGCTGGATCTTTATCAGTTTTTGCCGGAACATTATTTTATTGGAGGAAATTAACTCGATCAGGTTTACCAGCACCTTCCATACAAATATTACCTCGGAATACGGTTGTAAAACGGCGTTGTATTTTGATAAAGGTAACACAACACACGTTGTTTATCTACGATATGTTTGCATTTGTTGAAGCACGCTCAGACACTATGAGATATACGAAGATAAGGAATTGTTTTCGCAAATATTCAATTTTATATTAGGAAATAATTTTTGGGTTTGTTTTTTGTTCAAAAAAGTTTAATAAAATTATGAAACTTTTTTGAATGTTTACCTATCGTTGGAGAGTTTTAAGAATTTAATTATTAGTTTTTAACTTAGTAGTTAGAAGTACTTTTTTATTGTATTTAAGTTTCCTTCGATTGTTTTCAAATTTACTAAATTGAAGATATTAGCTCTTGAAGATATACTTCCTTATTACGCAATATTTTAAAGCAGTTCAATAGGCATTTGAGTCATGCAATGTTCATGAAATCAAACTGCGTAAAGCATTACAATTCTGTACATTATGTATAAACAATTACAACGCAAATCGTACATCCAGGCGAAGATTTGTTGCTAAATATGTCCACGTTAGAGCATATATGTACCTACATACATGGTTAATTTTGCAATTACGCGTCGAAACTGAAAATGTACAAACACCTTTTAAGTTGTGTAGTTGACGAACGGAATGCACGGTGTGTTGTTTAACACAAACAAACGGATTCTTCTGGGAAATTGGACAAGAAAATGTTTGTAAAAAAAAAAGAGCGACCGCTCGTTGCTGAAATCATACTGAAGACAATAAGTAACGATCAGATCATCCTTTCAGCTTGATAGAAACAACTTCTGAGGGATTTTCACATGAAATAATAGTTTAAAGATAGCTACGACCCTGCTGCTTCATCCATCCATATGAAATCTAAACTTTGCTATAAACAATACAAAGAGATGTTGTAAAGTGAGATAATTGCACAGTTCCATGATAAAGCTCAGCTAATGCAGGCATAAAAATGCAGGTTTTGGGAACTCAATTGAATAGCAAACTTTTAAAACACTGACTTCCTATGAGCAGCAAAACACTTCTAGAAAAATTTCAACTTTCTTTTTGACTTGAGCCTTTTTACCTGATCGAAATCTGAGTAAACTTTCGCCGCTTTATAAACCAGCCATGTTTTCATTATTGATTGATGCTACCCCCAATCGCTCAGAAGTTTCCAATGACCCTTTTATGGAAAGTGGTAAATGATTATAAGAAAAACATGTTTTCCTTCGTTAATAAGCTTATTCGTTCACCCTTGTCTAATTAAAAAAAGTTGTCTCGTTAAGTATTCACATTCTTCCACTTCGTACCGCATGAAGCTTGTTTTTCGCAAGCTGTCGACCGTAATCTTCCTGTTGAGTTGTTCGGCATTTGGGCTCCGTGACCACATGATTTAGGACCAAGTCGCTTCTTAAACTGATAAGAGTTTTTGCAAAGCCTGCAACTTTAATTTAAAAAGTTCTATTCTTGCAGTAATTTTAAATAAGTTTTGCTTAGTTACACTTTGAATAGCTACAGATATAACATAAACACATGTTTTAAACAATAGTATTCTATAATTAGTGTCACGAAACTAGTTCTCTTTTGCGTGCTGCTTATAATAAGACAGTAGACACATAGACCTTCTTCAACTGTTACTTAATACGAAGTTTCTTCAAGAGTTCGAGGCCAGGAGAAATTTGCGTAAAACCTTTAAATGTTTTTTATGATTGTTTTAGTGTTTTTCTCAATTGATCGATGCTGATCAAAAAATCATGCTTTCAGTATGACTTCAGGTCAGTTGCGGTAACTTTCACTTTCTGAGTAGAAGCAAGCTGTTGTCAGGTTTCACAATTATTATGTAGAATATTGAACCGCCTTTGAGTCTCCCCCAGAACGATAGACCGGATACATTTCCAACATTGTTATACATTTTAAGTTTTAAAGCGCACGGACTTAAAAATAAGTTAAACTAATTAAACAAAATTATATTCGCCCGACTTTATTTTTATTTTAGGGGCAATAATTTACACTTGAAATCACTCTGTATATTAGCGTTTCCGATGCGCATCCTTGTTTACAAAGTAAAGCTCTGAGGAGCTAACAACCCAACATTTTCAATAACGCAGGTTCAGCTCGGTTAAAAATAGACAAGTCATTCTCGAAAACATTAAAAAATTGCTTTTGAGCAGCCCAGTTAACGAGAAGCGTTACTTGCAAGTTTTGCTCCTTTATTGTGTTACCTCTTCATCGGTTGTTGTTTCGGAATGTTGCTGGGAAATTGGATTTAGATTATTCGTTACTAGTGTTATTATGTTTATTATGTAGATGCTAGTCATAAACGAGATTATGCTAACGATAAGAGCACATTCTTGGGCGCTGAATCGTGAGAATGGACACTGCAAAGCTGATAAAAATTGAGAGAACTTTTGTGAATAATGATAACACATTAAAAACACGCGTAACGCCAGTTATTATTATTCAACACGTTTTTAAACTTTTATGCAATTGGCCGTTCTAAAGGCATCTAAGAGAATTTCTTAGAAATGTAAAAATTCAGTGTGTGGCAAATATTTCGGGATATTGTTTGGAAGGTATAGCATCTATCCACAATGATAAATCGAGTCAACAAAGAATATTTAATATACAGAGTGTCCCGTAAGCACATGATCGAAAGGGTACTGCGATATTTCTTGAAACAAAAGCAGGCGATCTTAACATTTATGAAGAAAAAAATGTCTGGATCGTCTGCTTTGGTGGCCGTAAATTTGTTCCTATGTTAGACCAAGGGCGGGGGTTAGGGGGGTCATGAATTCCCCCTTTTGCTCGGTTTGGCTGCCGGCATGATTTTCTAGTACAGAACCCACCCTGAATTGAAAATTGAATCCGCCGCTACTGAAAAACTATCCGAATTTCCTCACTCAAGTTGTCATGACTGAATCGAATTTTCAATTCTCTATCCAACGATGCCAAAACGAACTGTGTGGCTCAAATGAGGTTTGAGAAACTTCGAAAAAAGCAGCGTGATGTTTGAGTCGATTTTGCAACTCCAAAAAAACACGCACATCTAAACGTCTTCAAACCAAGACTTTTTGAGAAAATTTTCTTATCGATGGTTCACTTCACAATGACGCTAATTTTGAATTACTCTGTATATGGGAAAAAATGCCGTTAGTGCATTCTGCATTAATTTCGTTAAGTGTTGTAATGTGTAGGTTCCGTGTATTAAAAAGCGGACAGTCGCTGTACCAATCTTACATGTTCAATATTTAATTAACGACGAAAGCACGGAGGAATGTCCGTTGATAATTTTCTTGTTGGCAGTTTGAGAAGCAATAAACGGCCAGTGTAATCCACCATGGGCGGCACAAACCTTGTCATCAAAATAACGCAAGATGTTCTGGGCTTAACCGTGATGCCATTATATTATTAAACGATAATAGGCGTCTTGATCAGAGTAATTTTTTTCAAGATTAATTTATCGAGAGAATTCAAACGGGTTGTGAACGAGTCTAGTGCTACTACTGCCACTGTAGGGAAACCTACTCAGTAAAACACGTTGAACCACTCGAAACAAGGTTTAACGAAACGAGCTTTAATGTTCATTCAATGCATTTACTAAGGCCTGTAGATATTTAAGAGCATATGCAGGGCGTCCGGAAATGATGCCCAAAAAATCAGATTCCACATGAAATATTTTTGTCTCAAGTTAACAGATATGCAGGGTTTCGAAATTAATTTTTTTTAATTGTTCTTTAAAACTGATATAATAGCTATCTTACTATTCTGCTACAAGTACAAAACTTGAACAACAGGAATTAGGCAGAAAGTAAGTTGAAATCCCAAAAAAAAATCAAGTTGGACTGCAGCTGTCTCTTCAGTAAGCAAATACGGTGTGCGCGAAAAAACCGAGATGCCCATCGAAAATCTAATTATTTAATGCATGAGATTTCCGATTTCATTGTTAGTCTATCGGTAGTATTTG